GTAGACCCTATTCTTTTTGTCTATTTTTTGTAGTTCTCTTTTTCTCATTCCGGTAGAAAAAAACACGAACGCAAATGTCAACAACTGAAAATCGCTTTCATCTTTCGAGTTTTTCGAGTCTGTATTGAATCCAGATTAACGGCGTTCTAATTGATTGACTTCTGATCCTCGTCATAGTCTTTGCTTGCATTTTAGAAGCGAAAAAATGCGCCTCTTTTTCTCCTTTTTTCTTACTGAAAACCCTCTTTCTTCTGCACATGACGTTCCTCTTTTTTCCCCCTTTTCTAGGGACTGTCGATCGGATGTCAGACTTTCATTAAAATAACAAATGATTTTATTTTGTTGCGTTCTTTTTTCATCTTCAAAAAGAATGATTGGAACTGCTTACATACACACTTGGTTTCATCATTTTTTACATTGAGGTTTTGTTAGAAACCAGGTTTAAGGAAATCTCCTTTTCTGGCCCAAAATTTTCAGTTTTTTCGTTTTTCATTTTTTATGTTTAATATATAAATCTAAATACCCTCTGTCTAATGAGCACATTATTAGGAGACAAAACCATATTTTTTATTCAAAAACTCGAAAAAAAACTGCATTTCAAGCTCAAAATGCTAAAAGATGCAACTTTCTTTACAATTTTCTCAAAATTAGATTTGTAAACAAAAAATTGAAGTTTTCTCTTCTTTTCTCTTAGACAATATGGCCTGTTAGATTCAAACTTTTTTTATGAGTACCTCAATCAAATTGCAGTGCGTGGTTTTATGTTCTCTTGAAAATATTGTATCTATGAAGTTTTGCAGATTTTACAAAATTAGCACTCACCAAAAAAAAAGCTATTTTTAATGGTTTTTTTGATAGTGTCTCCAATTTTTTGCTTCATCTGAGCCTTAGGAACAATATTTTTCAAAGAACAATAAAAAGCGCGCACCCAGCTTTGTTCCTGGTTGCCACAGAAAAAACTTCAGCCATAAAAAACGTAGTGCGGACGTTTGCGGGGGAGATCTATCTACCCTGAAAGTTTCAACACTTTTTTACCAAACTGTTCTTGAGAAACCTTGGAAAGGGGTGGTCTCCTTAAGTGTAGATTTAAAAAAACCATTTAGTTATTCTATAAACCTTGAACAACAAAAAAAAACCCAAATAAATCATTGAAATCTAGAAACTAATATTGATATCAGAATTAAAAAGAGATGGATATAAGCTCAATAGCTTGACTATAGTAACAGCTGGTGCTCTACGGTTTTCAACTATTGCAAAAAAGGAGAACTCCAGACGTCTTTTTATCTGATTATTGTATCAGACAAAAATCATTTTAAAACTCATCACCTTCGCAAAACATTCAAAACAAACGCATGAGAACAGTGTTCCATTTCAGGAAAATTTTGTAAATTCTATTTACTCAACATTGCGATAAAAGGTGTAAAATAAGTTTTAACCCTCTTATGCAATATTGTCTTCTGACATGTTTTTGTATTGGTCAAGGCTGATATTCATAGTACACTAGAACCCATAGGGTTCAAAATTTTCAGACCCAGACCTGACGGGCTCTACAATAAAAATACTAGGCGTCTAGCTCTGCTTTATGCTAAGATTTCAGCTTTTTGCTTATTATTGTTATAGAGACACAAATGATATAAAATTTATAAAATTTTTTGAAATCTTTTTGACATTTTATTAGTAATGTTACGTAAAAGATACTGCTCGAGAGAAGATTTACAAATGGAATTTCTTCTGAATAATAAAAAGATCATTTGTTAATGTTCATATATGTGTTCTCCACCTTGCTCTATCACTTACTTCAATCGACTCAGTATTTTTCCATCATTTGCTAGCATTTTTCTGCTGTAAACATTCTTCATTATTGTATTACTTGGTTTTTCAATTCTAATTCATTATCATATTGTTCACTTCTCAGTAGTGAACTGTATGATCATGATAGTGATCGTGACTAGTATTTCTAATAGAAATCTAAAACAAGATATACATGTAAATTTTATTTATATGAGCAAATTGTACA